TCTGTGGTTTATACCCTGTCCCAGAGCATTGGGTCTGTGCTTTATCCCCTCTCCCACAGTTTTGGGATCCGTGGATGATTCATTATTCCCAGTTTTGGGATCTATGGATTATCCCCTATTCCCAGAGTTTTCAGATCCGTGGTTTATCCTGTCCCAAAGTTTTGGATCCATGGATTATCCCCTCTCTGAAAATTTTGTGATCAGTGGTTTATCCCTAAAGACATTCCCCAGATCTCCTCTCCCTCCAGCTGAATCCTCACCCCATTCCCAATTTTCTTTCCCACTAAACCCCCGGGAATTTCCCGTTTGCCCAGTGTTCAACACGGTGTACAACAGCGACGACAACGTCTTCGTGGGCGCGCCCACGGGCAGCGGCAAAACCATCTGCGCCGAGTTCGCCATCCTGCGCATGCTCCTGCAGAACTCCGAGGGCCGCTGCGTCTACATCACCCCCATGGAGGCCCTGGCCGAGCAGGTGGGCACCAGGAATTCCCTGGAGAAGGAATTCCCACCATCTTCACCCCTCAATTCTTCGGGATCTGCTCGGGGTTTGACCGCCCGGCGGGTTACGGGGGGATTTGGGAATTGCTTCAGTTTGGGGGGAGTTTGGAGGGGATTGTCCAGTTTTGAGGGGAATTTGGTGGGAATTACCCCAGTTTGAGAGGAATTTGGTGGGAATTGCTCAAATTTGAGGGGAATTGGTTGGGAATTGCCCCAGTTTGGTGGGAATTGCCCCTTTTTGAGAGGAATTTAGAGGGAAATTTGAGGGAATTGCCTCAGTTTGAGGGAATTGCCCCAATTTGAGGGAAACATGAGAGGAATGTGGTGGGAATTGCCCAAATTTGGTGGGAATTGCCTCATTTTGAGGGGAATTTGGAGGGAATTGCCCAGTTTTGAGGGGAATTTGGAGGGAATTGCCCCAGTTTTGGGATAAGACTGGTCTGGTGGGAATTCCTCAGGAATTTGGCCGGAATTGCCTGAGTCTGAGAGGAATTTAGAGGGAATTGCACCATTTTGAGGGGAATTTGGTGGGAATGGCTCCAGTTTAAAAGGAATTGGGTAGGAATTGCCCCAGTTTGAGGAGAACAACACCACTCCTGTGTGAATTCCTGAGAAATTTGGTGGGAATTGCCCCAGTTCGGGAATTTCCTCAATTTGAGAGGAATTTGGTGGGAATCACCCCATTTCAGGGATGATTTCCTGTGTGAATTCTGGATAAATCCATTGGGAACCTCCCGAATTCAAGGCCAATCCCCGTTTGCCCAGGTTTTCATGGATTGGTACGAGAAGTTCCAGGAGCGCCTCAACAAGAAGGTGGTGCTGCTCACGGGGGAGACCAGCACGGACCTGAAGCTGCTGGGCAAAGGGAACATCATCATCAGCACCCCGGAGAAGTGGGACATCCTCTCCCGCCGCTGGAAGCAGCGCAAGAACGTCCAGAACGTCAACCTGTTCATCGTGGATGAAGTGCACCTGATCGGGGGCGAGAACGGGGTGAGAGTCCTGGCAGTGGGGTGGGGATGGGTCCAGCCCAGTGGGATTTTGAGTTGTTTTGGAGAAGGTTTGCCTGGTGGGAATTGATCTGGTGGGATGGGAATGGGATGGGAGGGTCAGAAGGGGTTTCCATGGGGTGTCCTGGATGGATCTCAGCCAGGAACAATCCTGATCCTGCTCCTGATCCCACTCCCGATCCTGCTTCTGATCCTGGTCCCAATTCCATTTCTGATCCTGCTCCTGATCCCACTCCTGATCCTGCTTCTGATCCTGGTCCTGATCCCATTCCTGATCCCTTTTCTGATCCTGATGCTGTTCCATTTGTCTCTCAGGAAGCTCAGGAGGAGTTTCTATGGGTTCTCCTGGCTGGATCTCATCCCAATCCCATTCCCAATCCCATTTATCCCCCACAGCCCGTGCTGGAGGTGATCTGCTCACGGATCCCATTCCCAATCCCATTCCTGATCCCATTTATCCCCCACGGCCCGTGCTGGAGGTGATCTGCTCATGGATCCCATTCCCAATCCCATTCCTGATCCCATTTATCCCCATAGCCCGTGCTGGAGGTGATCTGCTCACGGATCCCATTCCCAATCCCATTCCTGATCCCATTTATCCCCATAGCCCGTGCTGGAGGTGATCTGCTCACGGATCCCATTCCCAATCCCATTCCTGATCCCGTTTATCCCCACAGCCCTTGCTGGAGGTGATCTGCTCGCGCATGCGCTACATCAGGAGGGATTTCCATGGGTTCTCCTGACCGGATCCCATTCCCAATCCCATTCCTGATCCCATTTTTTCCCCCACAGCCTGTGCTGGAGGTGATCTGCTCGCGCATGCGCTACATCTCGTCGCAGATCGAGCGGCCGATCCGCATCGTGGCGCTGAGCTCGTCGCTGTCCAACGCCAAGGACGTGGCGCACTGGCTGGGCTGCAGCGCCACGGCCACCTTCAACTTCCACCCCAACGTGCGCCCCGTGCCCCTGGAGCTGCACATCCAGGTAGGGACGGGATTCTTGGGAAAACCCCTTGGGATCGTTGGGAATTCTTGGCCATAATCCATTGGGGTTGTTGGGAATTCTTGGCTATAATCCCTTGGGATCTTTGGGAATCCTTGGCCATGATCCATTGGGATCATTGGTTATTCTTAGCCATAATCCATTGGGATTGTTGGTTATTCTTGGTCATGATCCATTGGGATTGTTGGTCATTCTTGGCCAATCAATTCTTGGCTACAATCCCTTGGGATTGTTGTTCATTCTTGGCCGTGATCCATTGGGACTGAGATTAGGATTGGCCATTGATCACCAATCCAATCCAAGGATCAGTCATTACCGTGCTGGAATTACGCGAATTTCCCAGGCTTTCCCACCAGTTTGGCAGGGAATCCTTTGGGATCCATCTGGCTTTGGGGTTTTTGGCAGGGTTTCAACATCAGCCACACGCAGACGCGGCTGCTGTCCATGGCCAAGCCCGTGTACCACGCCGTGATGAAGCACTCGCCCAAAAAACCCGTCCTGGTCTTCGTCCCATCCCGCAAACAGACTCGGCTCACGGCCATCAACATCCTGACCACCTGCGCCTCCGACGTCCAGCGCCACAGGTGGCACCTGGGGGACACCTGGGGACACCACGGGATGGGCTGTGGGGCTGGAGAAGGTCCAGGGTTGGGATATGGGGTTGGAGGTGGAGATGGGGAATTCCTGAGGGATCTGGGATGGGTTATGGAGTTGGAGAACATCTGTGATGGAGAATTGCTGAGGGAGATGGGAACAAGGACACCTGGAGGACACCACGGAGCTGCCCAGGGACACCTGAGGGCACCACAGGATGGGCTGTGGGGTTGGAGGATGTCCAGGGTTGGGTTATGGGGTTGGAGGTGGAGATGGGGAATTCCTTAGGGAGCTGAGGGGACTTGGCTTGGAGAAGAGGGGGATCGTGGGGTGGGATTGGATGGGATGGGATTGGGACTGGGATTTGAATCAGTGAGATTAAGGGGATGGGATCAAAGGGGGCAATGGGGCAAGGAGATGGGATTGGTAGGATTGATGAGATGGGATGGGATGGGGGATCCCAAAGGCCTTTCCCAACTCCCGGATCCCCGGCAGGTTCCTGCACTGCGCCGAGAAGGACCTGGTGCCGTACCTGGAGAAGCTGAGCGACCCCACGCTGAAGGAGACGCTGGTGAACGGGGTCGGGTACCTGCACGAGGGGCTCACGGCCATGGAGCGGCGCGTGGTGGAGCAGCTCTTCAGCTCCGGTCGGGGCACGGCGGGGTTGGGATGGGGTGGGATTGATCTTGGGGCTGGGATGGAATGGGATGGGAAGGGACAGAGATTGGGATGGGATGAGATTGATTTTGGGATTGGGATTGATGGGATGGGATGGGATGGAGAGGATGGGATAGGATAAAAATTGGGATTGGAATCGGGATGGGATGAGACTCATTTTGGAGATGGGATAGAGATTGTGTTTGTAATCAGGATTAGAATTGGGATTGGATGAGATTGATTTTTGGGGTTGGGATTGATAGGGTGGATGGGATAGGATGGGATAGAGATTGGGATTGGGATGGGATTGATTTTAGGGTTGGGATTGAGGGGATGAATAGGATGGAATAGAGATTGGGATTGGGATCAGGATTGGGATTGGATGAGGTTGATTTTAGGGTTGGCATTGATGGGATAGGACGGGATGGGATAGATATTGGGATTGGAATCAGGATTGGGATTGGGATGGGATGAGATTGATTTTGGGGCTGAGATTGATGGGATGGATTAGATAGGATGGGAAGAGATTGGGATTGGGATTGGGATCAGGATTGGGGTGGGATGAGATTCGTTTTGGGTCTGAGATTGATGGGATAGGATGGGGATGGGATAGAGACTGGGATTGGGATCGGGATTGGGGTGGGATGAGATTGATTTTTGGGGTTGGGATTGATGGAATGGGATGGGATAAAATGGGATCAGGATTGGGATGGGAAGGATGGGATTGGGATGGATGGGACAGAGGCTGGGATTGGATGGATCTCCACCTCCCACCCCAGAAATTCCGGGCTCTTCCCCACCCCCTCTCCGCGTACCCCGATCCCGGGGTCTCTGTCCCCCTGACCCCGGGTGCCCTCCCGCCCCCAGGAGCCGTGCAGGTGATGGTGGCCTCGCGCAGCCTCTGCTGGGGCATGAACATCTCGGCACACCTGGTGATCATCATGGACACGCAGTACTACAACGGCAAGATCCACGCGTGAGCACGGCCCCGGCCCCGCGGCGTGGGGCGGGATTGGGATGGGATCCGTGGGGTGGGATTGGGATGGGATCCGTGGGGTGGGATTGGGATGGGATCCATGGGGTGGGATTGGGATGGGGTTTGGGATGTGGTGGGATGAGACCGGATTGAGATTGGGATGGATGTGATGGGATTGGGTTTGGGTTTGGGATGGATGGGATGGATTGGGTTTGGGACGGGATAGGATGAGATTAGGATGGGATGTTGATTTGGTTTGGGATTGGATGGGATGCGGTGGGGTAGAAGGGATTGGATTGAGATTGGGATGGGATTGGATTGAGATTGGGATTGGAATGGGGTGGAATGGGATAGAATCAAAGGGATCACAGGGATCAGTGAGATGGAATGGGATGAGTGGGATTGGGATTGGGAATTGGGATGAGATTATGATGGGATTGGGATCCCAGGTGGGATAGGATGGATGGGGTAGTATGGGGGGACTGGGATTGGGATTAGGAGGGGGATTGGGATGGGGATCCCAGGTGGGATAGGATGGATGGGATTGGGATAGGGATGGCATTGGGATCCCAGGTGGGATTGGGATTGGGATTGGGATTGGGGTCCCTGGGGCGCTGCTGACGCCCTGGCCCTGCAGGTACGTGGATTACCCCATCTACGACGTGCTGCAGATGGTCGGCCACGCCAACCGCCCGCTGCAGGACGACGAGGGGCGCTGCGTCATCATGTGCCAGGGCTCCAAGAAGGTGGGACACGGATCTGGGGGCGTTCCTGGGATTCCAGCCGGGGCTGGCCTCCTCCAGATGGTGGATGAGCCTCACCAGGGTTGGGGTGGGATCGATGGGATGGGATGGGATGGGATGGGATGGAATGGAATGGAATGGAATGGATCCAAACCCTCACTCAGGGTTGGGATCACCATGAGGACAACTCAAACCCTCCTGGCACTGGGTGTTCCCACACTATTTTTGGGATGAAATCTTGAATTTTTCCCTTTTTTCTGTCCCTCCTGCCCCAGGATTTCTTCAAGAAGTTCCTGTATGAGCCTCTGCCGGTGGAGTCCCACCTGGACCACTGCATGCACGACCACTTCAACGCCGAGATCGTCACCAAGACCATCGAGAACAAGCAGGACGCCGTGGACTACCTGACCTGGACCTTCCTGTACCGCAGGATGACCCAGAACCCCAACTACTACAACCTGCAAGGTGGGAGCGGGCTCTGCGTGCCAGCAGGGAGCTCCTGCAGCCTGGAACGGCACTTGGGAATGTCCTGGGGTGGTTATGGTGCTGGCAATCCCATCTTGTCCCATCCCATCCCATCGCATGGATCCCATCCTACCCCATCCCTCCATTATCCCATATTCTCGTTATCCCATTACCCCATCCCATTTTCCCATTACCCCGTTATCTCATTATCCTATTACCCCAATGCATTATGCCATTCCATCCCATTACCCCATCCCATTTTCTCATCCCATTTTTCTATTATCCCATTTTATTATCCCATTATCTCATCCCATTCTCCCATGATCCCTTTATCCCATCCCACCCCACCCCATCCATCCCAACCCCATCATTCCCATCCCAATCCCATAATTCCAATTCCAACCCCATCATTCCCATCTCATCCCAATCCCATCATTCCCATCCCATCCATCCCAATCCCATTGTTCCCATTCCCATCCCATCATTCCCATCCCATTCAATCCCATCATTCCCATCCCACCCCACCCCATCCATCCCAACCCCATCATTCCCATCCCATCCTAATCACATCATTCCAATCCCATCCCATCATTCCCATCCCAACCCCATCATTCCCATCCCATCATTCCCATCCCAACCCCATCATTCCCATCCCAACCCCATCATTCCCATCCAAATCCCATCGTTTCCATCCCAATCCCATCATTCCCATCCCAATCCCATCATTCCCATGACCCCCCGGTCCCGCTGCAGGCGTGTCCCACCGGCACCTGTCGGATCACCTGTCGGAGCTGGTGGAGCAGACCCTCAGCGACCTGGAGCAGTCCAAGTGCATCAGCATCGAGGACGAGATGGACGTGGCCCCCCTCAACCTGGGCATGATCGCCGCCTACTACTACATCAACTACACCACCATAGGTGCCCAAAACCCCGGGTTCTGCCCTTTTCCCCCAAAAAAATCCATGGGGCTGGGGGTTTGAACACAAAAAATCCATGGGGTTGGGAATTTCCCTCAAAAAAATCCATGAGGTTGGGTGTTTCCCTCAAAAAATTCCATAGGTTTGGGTGTTTCCCCCAAAAACTCCCAAGTTTGGGGTGTTGTCCCAAAAAACCCCTGGTTTTGTTAATTTTCCTTCCAGAAGAATCCCTGGCTTTGGGTTTTCTCCCCCAAATTCCCAATTATTGCGTGTTTTCCCCCAGAACTGTTCAGCATGTCCCTCAACGCCAAGACCAAGGTGCGGGGGCTGCTGGAGATCATCTCCAACGCCGCCGAGTACGAGAACATCCCCATCCGGCACCACGAGGACAACCTGCTGCGCCAGGTCTGGCAGCTGTGGGGTCAATGGGATCAGTGGGGTCAATGGGATCATTGGGGTCCATGGAATGGGGTCGATGGGATCATTGGGATCCATGGGATGGGATCAATGGGATCCATGGAATGAGATGGGATCAATGGGAACATCCCCATCCGGCACCACGAGGACAGCTTGCTGTGCCAGGTCTGGAATCTGTGGGGTCAATGGGATCCATGGGATCCTTGAGATCCATAGGATGGGATCCATGGAATCCATGGGATGGGGTCACTGGGATCATTGGGATCGATGGGATGGGATCAATGGGAACATCCCCGTCTGGCACCACGACAACATGCTGCCCCAGGTCTGGGATCCATGGAGTCAGTGGGATCATTGGGATCCATGGTATGGGATCTATGGGATTATTGGGATCTATGGAATCAATGGGATGGGATCAATGGGATCCATGGGATGGGATCCATGGGAACATTCCCACCCGGCACCATGAGGACAACCTGCTGTGCCAGGTCTGGGATCATTGGGATGGAATCATTGGGGTGGGAGCCATGGGATCCATGGGATGGGATCAATGGGATCCATGGAATCCATGGGATGGGATGGGATCCATGGGAACATCCCCATCTGGCACCACGAGGACAACCTGCTGCACCAGGTCTGGGATCCATGGGGTCAATGGGATCAGTGGGATCCATGGAATGAGGTCAATGGGATCTGTGGGATGGGATCAATAGAATCGATGGGATCAATAGGAGCAATGGAGCGGGCTGAGAGTAGGATCAGTAGGATCGATTGGATTGGATGGGATGGAATGGGATCTGTTGGGATTGAGATGGACTGGGATGAGATGGGATGAGCACTCAACAATCCCAACCCCACAAATTCCACAATCCCAAACCTCTCTCCCTCCTCCTCCCCGGTGACAGAGCTGGTTTAGGGGTCAAGCCCCAGTTTGGGGTTTGGGCACTAAAGGGTTTCTCCTCCACCCGCAGCTGGCCCAGAAGGTGCCCCACAAGCTGACCAACCCCAAATTCAACGACCCCCACGTCAAGACCAACCTGCTGCTGCAGGCCCACCTGTCCCGCATGCAGCTGAGCGCCGAGCTGCAGTCGGACACCGAGGAGATCCTCAGCAAGGTGGGACCCCAAAACCCCGCTCGGGGCACGGGGAGCGCAGCAAAGGGTTCTTGGGGTGAGGAGCTGGAGAGACCCCCCATCCATCATGGGAAACGGGCTGGATTTGGGGTGGGGTGGGATTTATGGACGAGGACAGCAGGGGTGGGATAATGAGGTTCTCCAGGGGTTCCTCTACCCCACAGAGGCAGTTCTCCAGGAATTCCATCCTGGGTCCATCTATGGGGTCAATTCTGCGGGAATTCCATCCCATGGGGTCATTTTTCTGGGAATTCCATCCTGGCTCCATCCCATGGGGGCATTTCTCCAGGAATTCCATCCTGGGTCCATCTATGGGATCAATTCTGCAGGAATTCCATCCCATGGGGGCAGTTCTCCAGGGATTGCCCCATGTGGTCACTTTTCCATGGGGTCAGTTCTGCAGGAACTGCTCCAGCCTGTGTCCATCTCATGAAGTCCCCATCCCTGGCTGCCACTGACCATCTCTGACCATCCCTCACCATCACTGACCACCCCTGATCGTCCCTGTCCATCCCTGTCCATGTGTCCAGGCCATCCAGCTGATCCAGGCCTGCGTGGATGTGCTGTCCAGCAATGGGTGGCCGTGTCCATGTCCCTGTCCTTGTCACTGTCCATCCCTGTCCATCCCTGACCATCCCTGACCATCGCTGTCTATCTCTCACCATCCCTGTCCATCCCTGCCCATCCCTGTCCATCCCTGTCCATCCCTGTCCATCCCTGACCATCACTGTCCATCCCTGCCCATCCCTGTCCATCCCTGTCCATCCCTGACTATCCCTGTCCATCCCTGCCCATCCCTGTCCATCCCTGACCATCACTGTCCATCCCTGCCCATCCCTGTCCATCCCTGACTATCCCTGTCCATCCCTGCCCATCCCTGTCCATCCCTGACCATCACTGTCCGTCCCTGTCCATCCCTGCCCATCCCTGTCCATCCCTGACCATCACTGTCTGTCCCTGCCCATCCCTGTCCATCCCTGTCCATCCCTGCCCATCCCTGTCCATCCCTGTCCATCCCTGTCCATCCCTGACCATCCCTGACCATCCCTGTCCATCTGTCCAGGCCATCCGGCTGATCCAGGCCTGCGTGGACGTGCTGTCCAGCAATGGGTGGCTCAGCCCGGCGCTGGCCGCCATGGAGCTGGCCCAGATGGTCACCCAGGCCATGTGGTCCAAGGACTCGTACCTGAAGCAGCTGCCCCACTTCACCTCCGAGCACATCAAACGCTGCACGGACAAGGTACAGCTGGGGACACCTTGGGGACACCTTGGGACCGAGGGGACACCTTGGGGACACTCTAAAGATATCCAAGGGACATCCAGGGGACACCTTGGGATCGCTTTGGGGACACCTTGGGAACATCTTGGGGACACGTTGGGACCCAGAGGACACCATGGGGACACCTTGGGGATATCCAAAGGACACCCAGGGGACACCTTGGGGACACTCTGGGGACACCTAAGGGACATCCAAGGGACACTTTAGGGACACCCAAAGGACACTTTGGGGACACCTTGGGGATACCTAAGGGATATCCAAGGGACACTTTTGGGACACCTTGGAAACACTTTGGGGACATTTATGGGACACTTTGGGGACACCTTTGGACCAAGAGGGCACCCAGGGAGCACCTTGGGATCCATGGAACACCTTGGGGACATCCTGGGGACACCCAGGGGACGCCCAAGAGAGACCCTGGGGACACTTTGGGGATACCCAAGGGACACTTCGGGGACATCCAGGGGGCACCCAAGGGACACTTTGGGGACACACTGGGGACACCTCGGGCCGACTGTGGGCACCGCAGGGCGTGGAGAGCGTGTTTGACATCATGGAGATGGAGGACGAGGAGCGCACGGCGCTGCTGCAGCTGCCCGAGGCGCAGATCGCCGACGTGGCGCGCTTCTGCAACCGCTACCCCAACATCGAGCTGTCCTACGAGGTGGGCGACAGGGACAGCATCCGCAGGTGAGAATGGGGTCAGCAGGGTCATTGGGATGGGATTGGGGTCATTGGAGTCATTGGGATTGTTGGGATCGTTGAGTTCATTGCGATCATTGGGTTGGGGATGGTTCTTCAACCGCTACCCCAACATGGAGCTGTCCCATGAGGTGGGGGACAGGGACAGCATCCAAAGGTCTGTAGGGGATTGGGATCAGGATTGGGATCATTGGGATTGGGATCATTGGGGTCATCGGGTTTGGGATTGGGGTCTGGATCATGGTGTGGTCCTACTGTTGCTGATCCTGTTGTCTCCAGGTGTGTGGGATGGGATCGGGATGGGGTTTGGGGTTTGGGATGGGATCAGGGTGGGGTTTGTGGTCACTGTTCCCATTGGGGTTTGGGGTTTGTGGTCACTGTTCCCATCTCTGTCCCCAGCGGTGGCCCCGTGGTGGTGCTGGTGCAGCTGGAGCGTGAGGAGGAGGTCACCGGGCCGGTGATCGCCCCCCTGTTCCCACAGGTACCGCGGGGTCAGGATCCCATCCATCCCATCCCATCCATCCCCATCCCATCCATCCCCATCCCATCCATCCCCATCCCATCCATCCCATCCATCCCCATCCATCCCCATCCCATCCATCCCCATCCATCCCCATCCCATCCATCCCCATCCATCCCCATCCATCCCATCCCATCCCATCCCATCCATCCCCATCCCATCCATCCCATCCCATCCATCCCATCCCATCCATCCCATCCCATCCATCCCCATCCATCCCATCCATCCCCATCCCATCCATCCCCATCCCATCCATCCCATCCCATCCATCCCATCCATCCCCATCCATCCCCATCCATCCCATCCATCCCTATCCATCCCCATCCCATCCATCCCCATCCATCCCCATCCCATCCATCCCATCCCATCCATCCCCATCCCATCCATCCCCATCCCATCCATCCCCATCCCATCCATCCCATCCATCCCCATCCATCCCCATCCCATCCATCCCATCCCATCCCATCCATCCCATCCATCCCCATCCATCCCATCCCATCCATCCCCATCCATCCCCATCCATCCCCATCCCATCCATCCCCATCCATCCCCATCCCATCCATCCCATCCATCCCATCCCATCCATCCCATCCATCCCATCCATCCCATCCATCCCCATCCATCCCCATCCCATCCATCCCATCCATCCCAATCCCATCCATCCCCATCCATCCCATCCATCCCATCCATCCCCATCCATCTCCATCCCATCCATCCCATCCATCCCCATCCCATCCATCCCATCCATCCCCATCCATCCCCATCCCATCCATCCCATCCATCCCAATCCCATCCATCCCCATCCATCCCATCCATCCCATCCATCCCCATCCATCTCCATCCCATCCATCCCATCCATCCCCATCCCATCCATCCCATCCCATCCATCCCATCCCATCCATCCCCATCCCATCCATCCCCATCCATCCCCATCCATCCCCATCCCATCCATCCCCATCCATCCCCATCCCATCCATCCCATCCCATCCATCCCCATCTATCCCCATCCATCCCCATCCCATCCATCCCCATCCCATCCATCCCATCCATCCCCATCCCCATCCATCCCCATCCCATCCATCCCATCCATCCCCATCCATCCCCATCCCATCCATCCCATCCCCATCCATCCCCATCCATCCCCATCCCATCCATCCCCATCCATCCCCATCCCATCCATCCCATCCCATCCATCCCCATCTATCCCCATCCATCCCCATCCCATCCATCCCCATCCCATTCATCCCATCCATCCCATCCCATCCCCATCCATCCCCATCCCATCCATCCCATCCATCCCATCCATCCCCATCCCATCCATCCCCATCCCATCCCATCCATCCCCATCCCATCCCCATCCATCCCCATCCATCCCCATCCCATCCATCCCAATGATGTCCCCAATGTCCCCAACATCCCCTGATGTCCCCACAGGAGGGTGTGGAGGGCTGGTGGGTGGTGATGGGGGTGTCCCTGTGGTCACAGTGTCTCTGATGTCCCCGATGTCCCCTTGCTGTCCCCACAGAAGCGTGAGGAGGGCTGGTGGGTGGTGATCGGCGACTCCAAGTCCAACAGCCTCATCTCCATCAAACGCCTGACGCTGCAGCAGAAGGCCAAGGTGACACTGGGGTGACACTGGGGGGGTGACATGAGTGACACCGTGGTGGTGACACAGGGTGGGTGCCATGGGCTGGATGATGCCAAGGTGACACCGGGCTGGGTCACACCAAGGTGCGATGGGCTGGGTGACACCAGGTGACACTGGGCTGGGTCACACCATGCTTCCATGGTGTCACACCAAGGTGCCATGGGCTGGGTGACACCAGGTGACACTGGGCTGGGTCACACCATGCTTCCATGGGGTCACACCATGGTGCCATGGGCTGGGTGACCCCGGGTGACATTGAAGTGCCATGGGCTGGGTCACACCATGGTGTCACAGGTTGGGTGACACTTGGTGACCCCGTGGTGCTGTCCCTGTCCCCAGGTGAAGCTGGACTGGGTCACACCATGGTTCCATGGGCTCACACCATGGTGTCACAGGTTGGGTGACCCCGGGTGACACTTGGTGACCCCGTGGTGCTGTCCCTGTCCCCAGGTGAAGCTGGACTGGGTCATACCATGGTGTCACAGGTTGGGTGACCCCGGGTGACACTTGGTGACCCCGTGGTGCTGTCCCTGTCCCCAGGTGAAGCTGGACTGGGTCATACCATGGTGTCACAGGTTGGGTGACCCCGGGTGACACTTGGTGACCCCGTGGTGCTGTCCCTGTCCCCAGGTGAAGCTGGACTTCGTGGCCCCGGCCGCGGGCACCCAGCACTACACGCTGTTCTTCATGAGCGACGCCTACATGGGCTGCGACCAGGAGTACAAGTTCAGCGTGGACGTCAAGGAGGCCGAGAGCGACTCCGAGTCCGACTGAGCCCCACGCGGCCCCGGGGATCCCCAAAATCCATCGGGATCCCAAATGGCCCTGAGAAAACCCTCAGAATTCCAAAATATCCCACAGAATGCTAAAATGGCCCAGAGAATCCTAAAAAGTCCCTCAGGATCCTAAACGCCCCTCAGGATGCCAAAATTATCCCAGTGAAATCCCACAGAATCCCAAAATATCCCAGTAAAAACCAAAAAAATCCCAGCAAAATCCCACAGAATCCCCAAAATCCCGAAATATCCCAGTGAAATCCCAGCCAGATACTGTAAAATACCAGAAAATTCTATCAAAATCCCACAGGATCCCAGCAACAATCCCATAAAATCCCCCAGGTCCCCCTCCCGCGTTCCCAGTGGTTTTTAGGGTTTGGATGTTTTGTACAGTTTTGTTTTTTAGGTTGGAATAAACTTCAGGATGTGACTCGGGCTCAGTGGTGGATCCCAAATTCCCAGATCCCAAACCCTTGGATCCCAAATTCCCCGATCCCAAACTCCTGGGTCCCAAATTTCCTTATTCCTGGAAGACATGGGAAGGTCTTGGAGGCCACAGGGGAAGTTTTTCTCCCACTTTATTCCCAGTTTTTGGGAAAATTCCCAGATTTTTTCCCATTTTATTTTTGGTGTTTTTCTGACAATTCCCAGGTTTTTGTCCCACTTTTTCCCAGAGTTTTTGGGAAAGTTCCCAGATTTTTTCCCCAGTTTATTCCCATTGTTTCTGAGGCAATTCCCAGGTTTACTCCTGCTGTTCTTGGGCCAATTCCCATTTATTTTCCCCATTTTATTCCCATTGCTTTCAGAACAATTCCCAAATTTACTCCCAATATTTCCGGGACAATTTTTAGGATTTTTTTCCCAGTTTATTTCCAGTGCTTCTGGGACAACCCCCACAGAGTTTTTTTTTTTCCCAGTTTATTGCTGGTATTTCCCCATCCATTCCCAAAGTTTTCCTGGGGATTTTCCAGGAATTTTTTTCCGCCATTTTCTTTCCGTTTCCCCGCCATTTTCAGATCATTTTCCCGCCATTTTCCTCCTTCCTTCCGCCATTTTGTGGTCATTTTCCCGCCGTTTCCAGGTCGTTTTCCCGCCGTTTTCTAGATGTTTTCCCACCATTTTCCAGATGTTTTCCAGCTGTTTTCCGGCCGTTCCCTCAGGCGTACTCCAGGTGCTGGGCGGCCCCGCGGGGCTCGGGGCCCTTGGCCGGGCTCAGGTAATCCCTCAGCTCCAGCTCCATCTTCTTGGCCTTCAGCGCCGCCGAGTGCAGCTTCTCCAGGAACTCGGGCATCCCTGGGGACCCCGGAGGGTGGGAAACCCTTCTCCCAAATTTTCCCCCTTTTCCCCCAATTTTCTCCTTTTTTTCCCAATTTTTTCTTCATTTTTCTCCCAATTTTTTACCCTCTTCCCCCAGTTTTTTCTCCATTTTCGCCCCAATTTTTCCCCAATTTCTCCCAATTTTCCCCTAATTTTTATCTCTTTTTCCCTTCTTTTCCAGTTTTTCCTGATTTTTCCCTTTTCTCTCCCCATTTTCCCTTTCCCAAGTGCAGCTTCTCCAAGAACTCCGGTATTCCTGGCAATTCCTAAAAGATGAGAAAAAATTCCCAACCCCCTTTTACCCAATATTTCCCCCAGTATTTCCCACTTTTCCCCCAATTTTTACCCTCTTTCCCCATTTTTTTCCCCCTTTTCTCCCCCCAGTTTTTCCTTCTCTTCCTCCCCCCTTTTTCCCAAGATTTCCTTGGAATTTTGGGGTTTTTTTGGGAATTCTCACCGCTGGACACCATCCAGCTGAGGCAGTAGCGCGGGAACACGGTCTGGGGGTTGTCGCTGTAGGTCAGCAGGTAATCGAAGCCGTTCTGGAAAACGCCAAAATCACCCACAATTCCCCAAAATCCCAAAAATCCCTGGTGGGAATTGGCCCAGAAACCACCCCCAGATCCCAAATTCCAAAAAAATTTCCCCCAAATTCTCCTTTTTTTGGTGGTTTTTTCCTAGCTTTTGAGGTTTTTCCACTCCAAGAACCCACCCCAACTCCCCCTAAATCCTGGGATTTTCCAAGAATTTCTGGGATTTTCCCCAGTTTTTCCCAATTTTCCCAGGATTTTTCCCTGTGACTTTCCCAGAATTTTTTCCCAATTTTGCTGGAATTTTCCCCAGATTTTTCCTGGAATTTTCCCATTATTTTTCCCTAATTTTTCCTGGATTTTTCTTCAGTTTTACCACGATTTTCCCCAGGATTTCCCCAGGATTTTCCCCAATTTTTCCGGGATTTTGGGCATTCCCACCTCGTCGAAGCCGCGGTGGGGCCGGATCACCATGTGGGATTCGTAGCTCCGAACCCGGACGTGCTCGGGGTCCTCGGGAATCCCGGGATGCTCCACGGCCCTGTGGGATCATCCAGAATTACCCTGAATTATCTGGGAATTACCCCAGAATTTGTAGGAATTCCAGGATTTTTTTTCCCAGGAATTCAGTGAGGTTTTTTTGGGGGATTTTTTGGGAATTCCATGGGGGATTTCTTTGGGAATTGACAGGAATTCTGTAGGGGCTTTTTGTCCAGAAATTCCATGGGGTTTTTTTGGGAATTCCATGTGGGATTTTTTTTGGGAATACCAGAAGGGATTTTTTAGAAATTCCGTGGAAGGTTTTGGGGAATTCCAGAGGGGATTTTTGGGAATTCTGTGGGGGATTTTTCAGGAATCCCATAAGACTTTTTTCTGGGAATTCCATGGGGGTTTTTGGGGGGAATCCCATGGGTTTTTTGGGGGAATTCCGTGAGTTTTTTTGCGGGATGCCCCACCTGGAGACGAGCACCATGAGGTTGCGGTCGCTGTCGACGCTGTAGCGCCGGACGTAAACGTAATCCCGGGAGTACATCGGGTACTGCAACGGGAACGGGGTCAGGATCCCAAAATGGACCCCAGACCCCTTCCCAGATCCCAATCCCACATCTCAGGGAACAGGATCAGCCCCAATCCCAGATCCTGATCCCGGTCCCTGATCCCAAATCCAAAATCCTAACCCCAAATTTTGATCCCAAACCTCAAATCCCAGGGGTTCGCCAGGAGCTGCTTGACCCAGTGGATCACCTCAGATCCCCAATCCCAGATCCCAATCCCAAATTCCCATGGCTGACTGGGAACTGCGTGACCCAGTGGATCACCTTGGATCCCAGATCCCAAATTCCAAGTCCCAGAGGATCCTCTGTGTCTCACTGGGAACTGTGTCACCCAGTGGCTCCCCTCAGATCCCAAACCCCAAATCCTGAACCCCAAATTCCAGATCCCAAATCCCAGAACCCAAATCCCTCAATGCTCACGGGGAACTGTGTGACCCAGTGGATCCCATCAATCCCAAAAACCTCAATCCCAAATCCCCAATCTCTCACCGGGAACTGTGTGACCCAGTGGGTCCCCTCAGACCCCAAATCCCAAACCCCAAATCCCCAATCCCAAAGGATCCCTGGGGATTCTCCCTGGGAACTGCGTGACCCAGTGGATCCCAAATTCCAGACCCCAAACCCCAATCCCAAATCTCTCACCGGGAACTGCGTGACCCATTGGATCACCTCTGATCCCAAACCTCAATCCCAAATCTCCGATCCCAAATCCCAATCCCCAATCCCAGATCCCAAAGGATCCCTGGGGTTTCTCACCGGGAACTGCGTGACCCAGGGGATCCCCTCAGATCCCAGTCCCAAATCCCAAACCCAGATCCCAAATCCCAATCCCAAATCCCAAATCTCTCACCGGGAACTGCGTCACCCAGTGGATCCCCTCAGATCCCAGTCCCAAATCCCAAACCCAGATCCCAAATTCCCAAATCCCAAATCTCTCACCGGGAACTGCGTCACCCAGTGGATCACCTCCGAGCCCGTGGCCGGGTCTCGCTCCACCACGTCGAGCTTCAGCACCAGCGAATCCCACTGCTTGCGGTACTCGGTGTCCAGCTGGGAAATATCCCAAAAAAACCAGGAATTCCAGGGAAATCCCGGGAAAACAGGGGCAGGGAAATCCCAAAAACAAACCCGGGATAACGGGGAAATCCCGGAATTCGAGGGAAAAATGGGAGCAGGGAAATCCCAGAAATAAACCCGGGACAATGGGGAAACCCTGGGGAAAAACCTGGAAATAAATCCTGGAATTCCAGGGGAAATGGGACCAGGAATGACTGAAAGAAATCCTGGAATTCCAGGGAAAACTGGGATGGGGAAATCCCAGAAATAAACCCGGGATAACGGGGAAATCCTGGGAAATGGAGATTGAGGAGAAACCTGGGAATAAATCTTGAAATTCCAGGGGAAATGGGATCAGGAATGACTGAAAGAAATCCTGGAATTCCAGGGGAATCCTGGGAAATTGGGACTGGGGAAAAACCTGGGAATAATCCCGGAATTCCAGGGAAAATCCAGGATTTTTCAGGGATAGGGAAAACCGTGGAATTCCAGGAAAAACCAGGGGAAAATCCCTTCCCCCCTCCCCTACCCTGATCCCAGAAAACCCTTGGGAGGAAATCTGGAATTTCTGGGAATGTTTGGGAAAAATGGGATCCGGAATTTTCCAGGATAGGATCAAAAGTAGGAATTTTCCAGGATTTTCTGGGATCCACCTGGAATTCCAAAACATTCCCAGCCCTGGAATCAAATCCTGGCAAGAATTTCCAGGGAATTTTTGGGAATTCCGCTCACCTGGACGTTGAAGAATTGCCTGGGAGTGACGTCGGTGTAGGAGCCGAAAACTGCGGGAAAATCCCAAAAATCAGCAAATCCCAAAAGCCCAAAAATCCCCAAATCCTGGGAATCCCAAAATCCCAGGAATCCAAAAATTGGGAATTTCAGGGATTTGGGGAAGTTGGAAATTGGGGAATTCAGGGATTTGGGATTTTGGGAATTGGGGAATTTGGGGATTTTGGGAATTCAGGAATTTGGGGATTGAGAATTTCAGGGATTTTGGTAATTGGGGAACACGGGAATCTGGGATTTTGGGAACTCAGGAATTGGGGATTTCGGGGATTTTGGGGAATTTGAGATTTCAGGATTTTGGGAACTTGGGGTTTTGGGATTTTAGGAATTCCTGGATTTTGAGAATTGGGGAATTTGGGAATGTCATGATTTTGGGAACTTCCAAATTTGGGGATTTTGGGAATCTGGGAATTTTGGGAATTCGGGAATCTGGGATTTTGGGGACTTTGGGATTTCAGGAATTGGGGATTTTGGGGGCTTTGGGATTTCAGGAATTTGGGATTTCAGGAATTGGGGATTTTGGGGGCTTTGGGATTTCAGGAATTTGGGATTTCAGGAATTTGGGGTTTCAGGAATTGGGGATTTTGGGGGCTTTGGATTTCAGGAATTTGGGATTTCAGGAATTGGGGATTTTGGGAATTCGGGAATTGGGGATTGAGGATTCCCCACCTCGGTACTGGAACAGCGCCGAGCCGGGGATGGGGCGGCGCCAGAGGCGGAACCGCTCCCGCTGCATCACCGGCTCCCAGCCCCGCTCCTGCTCCGGGAACGCCGCGGGATCCTCGAGCTGCTGCAGCGCCTGCGCCGACCTGCGGGGCAGTCCCGGTTTTTATGGGATACCGGGAGCTAAATTCGCGATTTTTATCCCCAGTATTTCCAATGTCCCATTCCTAGTATCCCCGTTATCCCGGTATTCCCCCCATTCCCGCGTTATTCCCGTTATTATTCCCGGTGTTATTCCCGGTATTATCCCCATTATCCCCGCCGTTATTCCCGCCGTTATTCCCGGTGTTTCCCGCTCACCGCCTCAGCTCCTCCTCCTCGATGCGCTGCCCGTCCCACACGAAGGCCCCGGCACCGACCGCGGCCATCAGGGCGCCCCGCGGCGCTCCCAGCCCGCACCGGCCGCGGGAACCTCCCCAGCGGCCGCGCCCGGAGCCGCCGCTCCCGGAGCCGCCGCTCCCGGTTCCTCTCCCGGTGCCGCGGGCCGCGTCCCCGGGCCCGCCGCGCTGCCGGGCCCGGCGCACCGTCCCGCAGGCGCAGTGGCGGGCGAGCAGCGCCAGCAGCAGCGGCAGCGGCGCGGGGCCGGGGGCGGCTCCGGGGGAGGCCCCGCCGGTGCCTCCGGTGGCGCCGCGGGCGGCGAGCGCGGCCAGCGGCCGCCACATGCCGGCCCCGCCGCGCCGCGCGTCGCGCTCCAGCGCGTCATCGGCGCGCGCCGCGCCGCTATTGGCCGGCGCTGCACCGCCCCGCGCTCTGATTGGTTGGAGGGGATAAGGCCACGCCCAGCAGCGCGTGATACCGGAAAGGGGTGTGAGGGCGAGAGGGAATGGGGGGCGAAGCGGTGGGCGGGGCTTGTGAGTGGCCACGCCCCCGGAGCCTCTATGGGGTCGGGGTGGTTTTAGGGGATTTTGGGGGGGGTTTTGGGGATTTTCGAGGGTTTTTGGTGTTGTTATGAGGCGCTGTGGGGTCTGGGCGGTTCCGGCCTTCCCATTGGTCCGAGCAGTTACGCCTCGCGCGGTGATTGGCTGCAGAGGGGAAGCCACGCCCACCCGCGCATGGTACCGGAAGAGGGCGGCAAGGGCGACGGGGGAAGGGGCGGGGCTTGGATGGGTGGAGACGTTTGGGGCGGGGCTTGACCGGGGCCACGCCCCCTGCAGGGGGATCAAGGGCGGGAATTTTTGGGATCCCGCCCAGTTTTATGGGATCCAGGGCAATTTTATGGGATCCATCCCCAATTTTATGGGATCCATCCCCATTTTTATGGGATCCATCCCCAATTTTATGGGATCCATCCCCATTTTTATGGGATCCATCCTCATTTTTATGGGATCCATCCCCATTTTTCAGGCTCCATCCCTCCCCATTCCCAACCACCCTCCGATCTCTTTCCCCCCTTTATTCCCCCAAATCCCGCGTCCGATCCCAAATCCCAAAATCCCCGAGCAACCCCTCCCATCCCTCCTCCCATCCCTGTGGGGTTTTTTTGGGAATTCTCTCAGAAAATCCCATTTTCCACAGATTTATTGGCGCCCTCTTTGCATATCCAGGGAATCCCGAAGCTTTTCCCGTTGGATCCCAAATCCCGGGATTTTCCCCCGAGGGTTTTTGGGTTAATTTGGCTCCTCCCGAGCCTTTCCCGGGATTTTTAATTTTTTTTTTCATGGAATTTTTTATTTTTCCAGGATTTTTCTGGGATTTCCATCCCGGGGGAGCTCTTGCATAGCCGGGGGGAAGAAAAAATGGGAAAAAAGAGCAGGAAAAGGGGGACAAAAGCGGGAAGTTTGGAATAAAAGCAGGAAAATCTGGATAAAAGCATCAGGACCTCCAAGGAGTCGGATCCCGGGGTTAAAATTCCCTAAAAATCCAGGAGATTCCCTAAAAAATCCCCCCTGAGCCGAAGCGTTCCAGGAATGGGAATTTTGTCGGGAATTTCAATCCTGACGGGATTTTTTTTCCTATTTTTTTGTTGTTTTGGCCCCAAAAATTTCTGGGAAAAATCAGAGCGGGGAAAAAATTGGGAATTTTGTGGGGGGAAAAGTGGGATGGGAGTGGAGGGGTTTGCATAAAAGCTCCGGGTTTTTCCAGCAGGGCTCATCCCGATTTCCCAGGGAGGCCAAAATTCCCAAATTTTGTGGGATGATCCCGAAAAAAGCCAAAAAAAAAAAAACCCCAAAGGCGATCCCGGAATTCCCAGAGCCTGGAATAAAGTGCAGAATGTCCATGGGGGGTGGGGAAAAGGGGGAGCGGGGATGGGAATTCCCAAATTTTTAAATAGGGGGAGAAATGTGGGAGAAGGGGGGAGAGCCGGGAGAGGGGACGGGGTGGGGAATGGGGGACCCCAAAGTTGGGGATCCGGTGGGAATTGGAGATCCCAGAGTTCTCATTCCACAGGGAATTCCAGATCCCAAAGTTCTGGAGCCGTGGGAAATTGGGGATCCCAAAGTTCTTGATCCATGGAGATCCCAAAGTTCTGGATCCACTGGAAATTGGGGATCCCAAAGTTCTCGTTCCAGGGGGAATTGGGGATCCCGAAGTTCTCAGTCCATTGGGAATTGGGGATCCCAAAGGTTTCGATCCATTGGGAATTCCTGACCCCAAAGTCCTCGACCCATGGAGAGCCCAGAGTTCTCATTCCAGGAGGATCCTAAAGTTCTCAACGTGTTGGCAATTGGGGATCACAAAGTTCTCAGTTCATGGAGATCCCAGAGTTCCTGATCCATTGGGAATTGGGGATCCCAAAGTTCTCATTCCAGGGGGAATTGGGGATCCCAAAGTTCTGGAGCCGTTAGGAATTGGGGATCCCAGAGTTCTCAATTCATTGGGAATTCCTGACCCCAAAGTCCTCGACCCATGGAGATCCCAAAGTTCTGGATCCACTGGAAATTGGGGATCCCAAAGTTCTCATTCCAGGGGAATCCCAAAGTTCTGGATCCGTTGGGAATTCCTGACCCCAAAGTTCTCAATCCACAGGGAATTAATTGGGGATCCCAAGGCTCTCAGTCCATGGAGATCCCAAAGCTCTCACTCCACGGGGAACTGGGCATCCCGAAGTTCTCGATTCATTGGGAATTGGGGATCCCAAAGTTCTGGATCCGTGGAGATCCCAAGGTTCTCATTCCATTGGGAACTGTGGATCCCACTCCCCTCATTCCAAGGAAAACCCACCTGGAGCAGGAGAGCCACGGAACCAAGTCGGGGATCGAGGCCCTGCAAGATCTCCTGGGATCCACCTGGAGAAACCCTCCCCTTGAAGATCTCCAGAGATCCATCTGGAGAAATCCTTGGCTGGAAGAACTTCCTGTGTCCATCCAGAGCAATCTTTTGCTGGAAGATCTCTTGGGATCCACCTGGAAAAGTCCTTCCCTGGAACAATCCTGGGATGCACCAGGATAAATCCTCCCCTGGAAGAACCTCCAGAGATCCACCTGGAGAAACCCTTTGCTGGAACATCTCCTGGGATCCACCTGGACAGATCCTCTCCTGGAAGAACTTCCCGTGTCCATCCAGACCAATCCTTTGTTGAAAGAGTTTTTGGGATCCACCTGGGCAGGTCCTCCCCTGGAAGACCTCTTGACATCTCCCCAACCCAACCCTCCCACACCACGTCCCCCACCCCAATGAGATCCGGCCTCTCCGTCCACTCGATCCAACACCATCATGGTGGCCACCATTGCGATGACCGGGATCGCAGTGACCACAATCATGGTGACCAGCATCAAGGTGACCACGATCAGGGTGGTCACCCATCACGATGACCACAATCATGGTGGCCACCACCATGATGACCATGATCACAGTGACCGGGATCACAGTGACCACAATGACCGTGATTATGGTGGCTACCATCACAATGACCGCTATCATGGCGACCGGGACGCCGATGACCACAATCATGGTGACGTGGATCAAGGTGACCACAATCATGACGACCACAATGATGGTGGCCACCACCACAATGGCCATGATGATGGTGACCACAATTAAGGTGACCACCCATCACGCTGACCAGGATCATGGTGACCACAATCAAGGTGACCACCCATCATGATGACTAGGATCATGGTGATCACGGTGACCAGGATCATGGTGGCCACCATCATGATAACCACCATCACGGTGGCCACCGCTATGACCACGATCATGGTGACCTGGATCACGATGACCACAATCATGGTGGCCACGACCACGATGACCATGATCATGGTAACCAGGATCAAGATGACCACCCATTACGATGACCGCCATCACGGTGGCCACCATCACGATGACCGGGATCAAGGTGACCACCCATCATGATGACCAGGATCATGGTGATCATGGTGACCGGGATCACGGTGGCCACCATCACGCTGACCATGATCAGAGTGACCAGGATCAAGGCGACCACCCATTACGATGACTGCCATCTTGGTGGCCACCATCACGCTGACCATGACCACGATGACCGGCATCATGGTGGCCACCATCACAACGACCATGATCATGGCGACCGGGATCAAGGTGACCACCCATCACGCTGACCGCCATCTTGGTGGCCACCATCACGCTGACCAGGATCATGGTGAGTGGCATCACGGTGACCACCCATCATGATGACCAGGATCATGGTGATCATGGTGACCAGGATCATGGTGACCACCATCACGCTGACCGCCATCTTGGTGGCCACCATCACGCTGACCATGATCACAATGACCGGGATCACGGTTGGCACCACCATGATGACCACCCATCATGACGACCACCATCACAGTGACCGCTATCTTGGTGGCCACCACCGCGCTGACCAGGATCATGGTGATCATGGTGACCAGGATCATGGTGGCCACCATCACGATGACCAGGATCATGGTGACTGGGATCAAGGTGACCACCCATCTCTATGACCAGGACCACGGTGACTGGGATCATGGTGGCCACCACCACAGTGACCATGATCACAATGACCAGGATCAAGGTGACCACCCATCACGCTGACCGCCATCTTGGTGGCCACCATCACAATGACCAGGATCATGGTGACCGGGATCACGGTGGCCACCCATCACGACGACTAGGATCATGGTGATCATGGTGGCCACCATCACGATGACCATGATCACAGTGACCGGGATCAAAGTGACCGTGATCACGGTGGCCACAATCACACTGACCACAATCATGGTGATCATGGTGACCGGGATCATGGTGGCCACCATCTCTATGACCGGGATCACGGCGACTGGGATCGTGGGGGCCACCACCACAATGACCACGATCATGGTAACCAGGGGTAACCAGGATCAAGGTGACCACCCATTACGATGACCGCCATCATGGTGGCCACCATCACGCTGACCACGATCACGGTGACCGGGATCAAAGTGACCGCCATCACGGTGGCCACCGCCGCGCCGACCGCCGTCACGGCGTGTACGCGGGCGGCGGCTGGAACTGGTTGACCACCTCGTAGTCGGGCCCGTAGGGCTCGGCCTCCTCCATCTCGGAGAGCAGCTCCAGCGCCTGCTCCTCCTCCTCGCTGGGGTAGTGCCGCAGCAGGTTGGCGGCCGTGGCCAGGATGGAGGCGCCGCCCGCGCCCGCCACCAGGTAGAAGCTGACGGCGAAGGTGACGAAGACCTGCGAGCCGTGGTACTTCTTGTGCTGCTGCTGCTGCGCCAGGAGCAGCTCCGAGGCCCAGTAGCAGAAGCCGATCACCGTGGCGCACTGCAGGACTGCAAAATGGGGGAAAATTCGGTTACATTGGGGAAAAATGGGGGAAAATTGGGTTAGATTTGGGAAAAAACGGGGAGAAAAACAAGAAAAATGGGGTAAAAATGGGTTGGATTGGGGAAAATTGGGTCTGGGGTCTCCAGGAGCAGCTCCGAGGCCCAGGAGCAGAAGCCGATCACCGTGGCGCACTGCAGCACTGGAAATGGGGAAAATTCAGTTAGATTTGGGAAAAATGGGGGAAAAAACATCCAAAAATGAGGTAAAAATGGGTTCAATTGGGAAAAAATTGGGAACAAACATCAAAAATGGGTAAAACTGGAGTGGGTTTGGTGTCTGGGGTCTCCAGGAGCAGCTCCAAGGCCCAGGAGCAGAAGCCGATCACCGTGGCGCACTGCAGCACTGGAAATGGGGAAAATTCAGTTAGATTTGGGAAAAATGGGGGAAAAAACATCCAAAAATGAGGTAAAAATGGGTTAGGTTGGGGGAAATTGGGTCTGGGGTCCCCAGGAGCAGCTCTGAGGCCCAGCAGCAGAACCCGATCGCCGTGGCACACTGGAGAACCGGGGGAAAAACATGGAAAAATGGGAAAAAATGGATTAGATTTGGGTAAAAATGGATTAGATTCAGGAAAAATGGGAAAAAAAATCCCAAGAAAAATGGGGGGAAAATGGAGGAAAAAACGTGGAAAAAAATGGGAAAAAAACATGGAAAAATGGGTTGGAATGGAGAAAAAATGTGAGGAAAAAATGGGAAAAATTGGAAAAAAAAAGGGGTTGGATTGGGGGAAAGGGGCTTAGATTGGGAGAATAATAGGAAAAAATGGTAAAAAAGAGAAAAAAGATGGGTTAGATTGGGAGCAAATGGGGGAAAAATGGGAAAAAAATGGGGATTTTTAGGGGGAAATTTTGTTGCTTTTTCTTTAATTTCCAGGGGATTTTGGGGGGGGATTTTTGGGTGTAATTCTGCTGTGGTTTTTTTTTTTTTAATTTTGGGGGGATTTTTAGGGGATTTTTGGGTGGAATTTCATCACTTTTTTTTTTAATTCTGGGGGTGTTTTTGGGGTGCCCCCACCTGTGAGGATGTGGGCGAAGGCGTAGCGCCGGGTGATTTTCAGGGCCGGGTGTTTGGGCCCGAAGACGTCGAGCAGGAAAGCGCCGAGGCTGCACAGGATGCCCAGGAAGCAGAAAGCAGCAATGACCCTGAGCAGCAGCACCGTCTGTGGGTTCATGCAGAAATCTGGGGGGAAAAAGGGAAAAAATGGGAAAAAACAGCATGAGAGGAAAGAAAAAGTGGATTTTATAACAGAAAATCGGATTTTTCAGCAAAAATATCCGAGTTTCTGCACAAAAAAATCTGATTTTTTGCACAAAAAAAATTGAAAATTTGAGGTGGAAAAGGGGAATTTTGGGAATTTTGGGGGGAGTTTTTGGGGGATTTTTTGGGGATTTTGGGGGATTTTTAGGGAGTTTTGGGGGGTTTTGGGGGCAACAAATCCAACGATTCCTTTAAATGCCAACACCCCTTTGAGGCAATCCCTGTAATTGGGGATGGCTCATTGATTAGGAGTAGCTTGTTAATTAGGGGTGACTTGTTAATTAGGGGTGAGTTGTTAATTAAGGATGAGTTCCTGTGCCCGAGGGGGAGGAGCAAGGCTGGAAAAATGGGAACGGGAAATTCCACGGGAATGGGGAGGGAGGGAGAGATGGAGGGAGAGGAGAGAAGGTTCTGGAAGGGGACAAAAAGGTCTGGAAGGAACAGAAAAGACTGGAAGGCCACAGAAGGTTCTGGAAGGCCACAGAAGGTTCTGGAAGGCCACAGAAGGTTCTGGAAGGGACAGAAGGAACAGAAGGCCACAGAAGGTTCCAGAAGGGACAGAAAGGACTGGAAGGGACAGATGGACACAGAAGAACACAGAAGGTTCTAGAAGGGTCTGGAAGGGAACAAAAGGACACAGAAGGCTCTGGAAGGGGACAGAAGGCCACAGAAGGTTCCAGAAGGGGACAGAAGGGACAGAAAGGCACAGAAGGGTCTGGAAGGGGACAGAAGGACACAGAAGGTTCCGGAAGGGAACAGAAGGACACAGAAGGTTCTGGAAGGGACAGAAAGGACTGGAAGGGACAGATGGACACAGAAGGGTCTGGAAGGCCATGGAAGGTTCTGGAAGGGTCTGGAAGGGACAGAAGGCTCTGGGACACCACAGAAGGATCCGGAAGGGGACAGAAGGGACCAAAGGCCATGGAAGGTTCTGGAAGGGGACAGAAGGACACAGAAGGTTCCAGAAGGGGATAGAAGACAACGGAAGGTTTCAGAAGGGACAGAAGGACACAGAAGGTTCTGGAAAGGGACAGAAGGACACAGAATGCCACAGAAGGTTCCAGAAGGGGACAGAACAGAAGGGACAGAAGGGGCAGAATGTTCCGGAAGGGGACAGCAGGACACAGAAGGCAATGGAATGTTCCAGAAGGGACAGGAGGCCACAGAAGGTTCCAGAAGGGACAGAAAGGGGCAGAATGTTCCGGAAGGGGACAGAAGGACACAGAAGGTTCCGGAAGGGGACAGAAGGACACAGAATGCTCCGGAAGGGGACAGAAGGACACAGAAGGTTCCGGAAGGGGACAGAAGGACACAGAATGCTCCGGAAGGGGACAGAAGGACACAGAAGGTTCCGGAAGGGGACAGAAGGACACAGAATGCTCCGGAAGGGGACAGAAGAACACAGAAGGTTCCGGAAGGGGACAGAAGGACACAGAATGCTCCGGAAGGGGACAGAAGGACACAGAACGCACAGAAGGCCACGGAACGTTCCGGACCCCCGGCACCCCGCTCACCTCGGAGCAGCTCGGGCTGCACGAAGCCCAGCACGTCGGCCACGCCCAGCTCCTGGCGGGCGCAGGTGCCGCCGTGGATGCGCAGCCAGGCGGGCTCGGCCAGCGCGGTGCAGAGCGCGGTGATGGCCAGGGCGCCCGGCAGCGCCGACGCCAGGCTGCGCTCCGGCTGCTTGGGCAGCGCCGCGCCACGGCGCCGGGACGGAACCGCGCCCGCCGCGCCCGCCGAGTACATGGCGGGGAGGGCACGGGGACGGGAATGGGACCGGAACGGGGTTACGGACACCGGTACTGGGTCACCCGAACCAGAACTGGCACCGGGAATGGAACCGGGAACGGAACCGGCACCGGGACCGGGGTTATGGACGCTGGCCCTGGGTCACCGGAACCAGGACTGGAACCGGGACTGGGATCACGAATGGAACCGGTACCGGGGTTACGGGCACCGGGACTGGGTCACCGGAATCGGCACCGTAACTGGGACTGGAACTGAAACTGGAACCTAGACCGGCACTGGGACTGGAACCGGTACCGGGGTTATTTACACCGGCCCTGGGTCACTGGAACTGGCACCAGGAATGGGACTGGGAATGGAACCGGGACCGGTACCGGGGTTATGGACGCTGGCCCTGGGTCTCCGGAACCAGGACTGGAACCGGGACTGGGATCACGAATGGAACCGGTACCGGGGTTACGGACGCTGGCCCTGGGTCACCGGAACTGGGAATGGAACCGGGAATGGAACCAGGAATGGAACCGGCACCGGGACTGGCACTGGCACCAGGAATGGAACCGGGAATGGAACTGGGACCGGCACTGGGACCGGCACTGGGGTTACAGATGCCAGCCCTGGGTCACTGGAACCGGCACTGGGGTAATGGACACCCGCTCCGGGTCCCGGTACCGGTCACTGACACCCACTCCGAATCACCGGGACCGGGAGCGGTTCCGGGTCACCAGCTCCTGCTCCAGGACCCCCGACACCCGCCCCGGGATACCCTGTACCGGCCCTGGGATCCCCGGTACCGGTCCAGGACTCGCGGCACCCTCCCCGCGTCACCGACACCCGCTCCGGGTCACTGCTACCGGCTCCGGGACCTCTGACAGCCCTCCGGGATAACCGGTACCGGCTCCGGGACCCCTGGCACCGCCCCGGGATAACCGGTACCGGTTCCTGATTCCCGGCACCCTCCCTGCGTCACCGACACCCGCCCAGGGATAACCGGTACCGGCTCCGGGACCCCCGACACCCCTCCGGGATAACCGGTACCGGCTCCTGGACCCCGACACCCCTCCGGGATAACCGGCACTGGCCCTGGGATCACCGGTACCGGCTCCGGACCCCCGACACCCGCCCCGGGTTCACCGGCAGTGGTTTCCGACACCGGTCCCGGTCGCTCCGAACGCGCTGAGCCCGGCCCCGGGACAGGCGGCGCCGGTGCCGATCCCGGGACAGCCGGTGCCGGTGCCGGTGCTGGTGCCGATCCCGCCGGGCCCCGGCAGCGGCTCCGGTCCCTCCTCACGGCCCCGCCCCGCCCGGCCGCGCTTCCGCTTCCGCTCCTGTTCCGCTTCCTGTCCGCTCCGGTCCCGGTGTCGGTTCCGGTTCCGGTGCCGCTGTCGGTTCCGGTGCCGCCATGCCCGAGGCGCTGTCGCTGCTGTGCCGGGTGTCGGCGCACCCCGAGTCCCGCTGCTGGGCCCTGGCCTGGAGCCCCAGCGGGGCCCTGCTGGCGTCCTGCGGCGGGGACCGGACCGTGCGGGTGTGGGGCCGGGACGGTGAGCGGGGAACGGGAACGGGAACGGGAACGGGAATGGGACCGGACCGTGCGGGTGTGGGGCCGGGACGGTGAGCGGGGAACGGGAACGGGAACGGGAATGGGACCGGACCGTGCGGGTGTGGGGCCGGGACGGTGAGCGGGGAACGGGAACGGGAATGGGACCGGACCGTGCGGGTGTGGGGCCGGGACGGTGAGCGGGGAACGGGAACGGGAACGGGAACGGGACCGGACCGTGCGGGTGTGGGGCCGGGACGGTGAGCGGGGAACGGGAACGGGAACGGGAATGGGACCGGACCGTGCGGGTGTGGGGCCGGGACGGTGAGCGGGGAACGGGAACGGGAATGGGACCGGACCGTGCGGGTGTGGGGCCGGGACGGTGAGCGGGGAACGGGAACGGGAACGTGAACGGGACCGGACCGTGAGGTTGTGGGGAAAAATGGGAACAGGTGTGGGGCTGGGATGGTGAGCGGGAACCGGGACTGGCTGTGGGGAAACCGGGGCAGGACAGTGCGGGGGAACCGGGCTGGACACGGGGCTGAGCGGGACCTGTCCCCGTGTCCCCTCACTGTCCCGGTGTCCCCTCACTGCCCCGGTGTCCCCTCACTGTCCCCGTGTCCCCTCACTGCCCCGGTGTCCCCTCACTGTCCCGGTGTCCCCACACCAGGCTCGGGCTGGGCGTGCCGGGCGGTGCTGGCGGACGGGCACCAGCGCACCGTGCGCCGCGTGGCCTGGTCCCCGTGCGGGCAGTTCCTGGCCTCGGCCTCCTTCGATGGCACCACCTGCGTGTGGCGGCGGCACGAGCACGGCTTCGAGGTGGGGCACTGCCGCCGGCGTCACCCCCGTGTCACCCCCCTGTGGCACCTGTGTCACCCCAGTGTCACCCGTGTCCCTCCAATGCCACCCGTGTCCCCTCAGCGTCGCCTCAGCATCGCCCGGGTGCCCCCCGTTGTCACCCGCGTCGCCTCCGCTTTGTTACCTGTGTCCCCATTGTCCCCTGTGTCCCCCAGGCCCGTCCCCACCCCCGTGTCCCCCCCGTGTGACGGTGCCCTGTCCCCACAGGTGGTGGCCACGCTGGAGGGACACGAGAACGAGGTGAAGTCGGTGGCCTGGGCACCCTCGGGGTCGCTGCTGGCCACCTGCAGCCGTGACAAGAGCGTCTGGGTCTGGGAGGGTGAGCGCTGACCGCTGACCGCACTGTCCCCTGTGTCCCCTGCGTCCCCTCACTGTCCCCTGTGTCCCCTCACTGTCCCCTGTGTCCCCTCACTGTCCCCTCACTGTCCCCTGTCCCCTCACTGTCCCCTGTGTCCCCTCACTGACCCCTCACTGTCCCCTCACTGTCCCCTGTGACCCCTCACTGTCCCCTGTGTCCCCTCACTGTCCCCTCACTGTCCCCTGTGTCCCCTCACTGTCCCCTCACTGTCCCCTGTCCCCTCACTGACCCCTGTGTCCCCTCACTGTCCCCTCACTGTCCCCTGTGTCCCCTCACTGACCCCTCACTGTCCCCTGTGTCCCCTCACTGTCCCCTGTGTCCCCTCACTGTCCCCTCACTGTCCCCTGTGTCCCCTCACTGACCCCTCACTGTCCCCTGTGTCCCCTCACTGTCCCCTGTGTCCCCTCACTGTCCCCTCACTGTCCCCTGTGTCCCCTCACTGTCCCCTCACTGTCCCCTGTCCCCTCACTGTCCCCTGTGTCCCCTCACTGTCCCCTCACTGTCCCCCGTGTCCCCTCACTGACCCCTCACTGTCCCCTGTCCCCTCACTGTCCCCCGTGTCCCCTCACTGACCCCTGTGTCCCCTCACTGTCCCCTCACTGTCCCCTGTGTCCCCTCACTGACCCCTGTGACCCCTCACTGTCCCCTGTGTCCCCTCACTGTCCCCTCACTGTCCCCTGTCCCCTCACTGTCCCCCCTGTCCCCTCACTGTCCCCTGTCCCCGCAGTGGACGAGGAGGAGCAGGAGTTCGAGTGTGTCAGCGTGCTGAGCGCCCACACGCAGGACGTCAAACACGTGGTGTGGCACCCCAGCCAGGAGGTACCTGGGGACACCTGGGGACACCTGGGGACACCCCAAACTCCACAGGGACCCCAAAGAGCCCCAGATCCTGCCAGGCTCCCATTCCTGTCCCCAACGTCCCCTGTGTCCTCAATGGCCCCAATGTCCCCGGTGTCCTTTGTGTCCCCAGTGCTCCTGATGTCCCCAATATCCCTGATGTCTCCAATATCTCCTGTCCCCAGTGTCCCCAATGTCCCCATTGCTGTCCCCAGCTGCTGGCCAGCGCCAGCTACGATGACACGGTGTGATCCCTGTCCCCAGCGTCCCCAACGATGTCCCCCTTGTCCCCAGCTGCTGGCCAGCGCCAGCTACGATGACACGGTGTGATCACTGTCCCCAGTGTCCCCAATGATGTCCCCCTTGTCCCCAGCTGCTGGCCAGCGCCAGCTACGATGACACGGTGCGCCTGTACCGCGAGGACGAGGACGACTGGGTGTGCTGTGCCACCCTGGAGGGTCACACGTCCACCGTGTGGGCGGTGGCCTGGGAGCGCTCGGGCCAGCGCCTCGTGTCCTGCAGCGACGACCGCACCCTGCGCGTGTGGCAGCGCCAAGAGGGACAGGGTGAGGGACAGGGGACACTGGGACATTGGGGACACTGGGGACATTGGGGACAGGGACACGGTGAGGGACATGGGGACATTGGAGACACGGGGACATGGATGGGGATAGTGGGGACATGGGGACATGGACTGGTGTCCTGCAGCGACGACCGCACCCTGCGCGTGTGGCAGCGCCAAGAGGGACAGGGTGAGGGACAGGGGACACTGGGGACATTGGGGACACTGGGGACATTGGGACATGGGGACATGGGGACAAGGACAGTGTCCTGCAGCGACGACCGCACCCTGCGCGTGTGGCAGCGCAGTGAGGGACAGGGTGAGGGACAGGGGACACTGGGGACACTGGGGACATTGGGGACATTAGGGATACTGGGGACAGGGACATGGGGACAGGGACTTGGGACAGGGACTTGGGAACAGAGACATGGGGACATTGGGGACACTGGGGACATTGGGGACAGGGACTGGGACATGGGGACAGGGACTTGGGGCATTGGGGACATGGGGACAGCAGGGACAGGGATGGCGATGGAAACGGGATGGTGACAGGGGTCAGGAGCCGGAGATGGGTGACAGGGTGGGGACAGGGGACTCGTGTCCTACAGCAATGACCACGCCCTGCGGGGGTGGACGCCCCAATGTCCCCACTGTCCCCAATGTCCCCGCTGTGTCCCTGTCCCCAGGCGGTGGCTCGGAGCACAGCTGGCAGTGCGTGTGCACCCTGTCCGGGTACCACGGGCGCAGCATCTACGACGTGGCCTGGTGAGCACCGGGGACGCTGGGGACATTGGGGACACTGGGGGGACATTGGGGACACTGGGGGACACCTCACTGGGGCCCTGTTCCCTCCCCATTACCCCCATGTTCCTCCAGATGCCACCATCCCAGTGACCCCTTTGGGTGCCACCTGGCCCTCCCTGTGTCCCTGTCCCCTGCCCAGGTGCCACCTGTCCCCTGTCCCCTCCATGATCCCTGTCTGTGTCCCTCCAGGTGCCACCATCCTCTTCCTGTCCCTTTGCCCCCAGGTGCCACCTATCCCCTGTCCCCTCCCTGTGTCCCTGTCCTCTCCCTGTCCCCTGTCTCTGTCCCCTGCCCACCTGTCCCCTGTCCCTGCAGGTGTCTCCTGTCCTCTCCCTGATCCTGTCCCTGTCCCCTGCCCACCTGTCCCCTGACCCTGTCCCCTGTGTCCCCTGTCCCCTCCCTGACCCCTGTCCGTGTCCCCAGGTGCCACCTGTCCCCTGTCCCTGCAGGTGTCCCCTGTCCCCTGCCTGACCCCTGTCCGTGTCCCCAGGTGCCACCTGTCCCCTGTCCCTGTCCCCTGCCCACCTGTCCTCTGACCCTGTCCCCTGTGTCCCCTGTCCCCTCCCTGACCCCTGTCCGTGTCCCCAGATGTCCCCTGACCCTGTCCCCTGTGTCCCCAGGTGCCATCTGACCTTGTCCCCTGTGTCCCCTGTCCCCTCCCTGACCCCTGTCCGTGTCCCCAGCTGTCCCCTGACCCTGTCCCCTGTGTCCCCTGTCCCCTCCCTGACCCCTGTCCGTGTCCCCAGCTGTCCCCTGACCCTGTCCCTGTCCCCGCAGGTGCCACCTGACGGGCGCGGTGGCCACGGCGTGCGGGGACGACGCCGTGCGGGTGTTCGAGGAGGTGTCCCCGGCGTCCCCGGCGTCCCCGGCGACGTTCGGCCTGGCCGCCCACGTGCCGCGGGCGCACGCCCAGGACGCCAACGGGGTGGCGTGGCACCCGCGCCAGCCGGGGCTGCTGGCGTCCTGCGGGGACGACGGGGACATCGCCTTCTGGCAGTACCAGCGCCCCGAGGGGCTCTGAGCCGCCACGGGGACACCAAGGGGACCTGCAGGGACCTCCTGGGGCCTCTGGAACCTTCCCGTGGCCTCCAGGATCACCCAGTGTTCTCCAGAACCTTCCCACGATCTCCAGGACACCTCGGGGACCTGCAGGACAGCCCAGGGGGCTCCAGAACCTTCCTGTGGCCTCCAGGATCACCCAGTGTTCTCCAGAACCTCCCCACGGCCTCCAGGACACCACGGGGACCTGCAGGAGATCTCAGGGGGCTCCCGGAGCCTCCTGTGGCCTCTGGAACCTTCCCATGGCCTCCAGAACCTCCCCATGGCGTCCAGAACCTTTCCATGGCCTCCAGGATCACTCGAGGTTCTCCAGGACCTTCCCGTGGCCTCCAGAATCACCCAACGTTCTCCAGAACCTACCCACAGCCTCCAGGAACTTCCTGTGGCCTCCAGAACCTTCCCACGGCCTCCAGGAACCTCCCGTGGCCTCCAGGAGCACCCAGTGTTCTCCAGAACCTTCCCACGGCCTCCAGGAACATCCCATGGCCTCCAGGAACCTCCCATGGCCTCCAGGAACGTCCTGTGGCCTCCAGGAATCTCCTGTGGCCTCCAGAACCTTCCCATGGCCTCCAGGAACCTCCCGTGGCCTCCAGGAACCTCCCGTGGCCTCCAGGAATGTCCCGTGGCCTCCAGAACCTCCCCACGGCCTCCAGGACACCGTGGGAACCTGCAGGAACCTCCCGCGGCCTCCAGGATCACCCAGTGTTCTCCAGAACTTTCCCAAGTGTCCTCCAGAACCTTCTCAAGTTCTCCAGAACCTTCCCGAGTCCCCCCAGCCCGCCCCTGTGTCCCTCCCCGGTTGGGTTTGTGGGGCCGGGGTGGGTTTGGGGTCTCACAGCCCCCCAATAAACCCCAGGATGGCCCAAAATCGCCCCGACCCCACAAGGACCTGACGGGGGTTTGGGGTCAGTCGGGGATTCGGGACCGGGGAGTTTTGGGATCCAGGAATTTGGGATCAGGGGATTCGGGACTGGGGAGTTTGGGATCCCAGGAGTTTGGGGTTCAGGAGTTTGGGATCAGGGAATTTGGACCCTGGAGTTTGGGATTGGGGAGTTTGGATCGGGGAATTTGGGATCAAAGAGTTTGGGATCCGGGAATTTGGGATCCCAAGAGTTTGGGGTTCAAGAGTTTGGGATTGGGGAATTCGGACCCAGGAGTTTGGGATTCAGGAATTTGGGATCAGGGGATTCGGGATTGGGGAATTTGGGATCCCAGGAGTTTGGGGTTCAGGAGTTTGGGATCAGGGAATTTGGACCCTGGAGTTTGGGATTGGGGAGGTTGGGATTGGGGAGTTTGGATCGGGGAATTTGGGATCCCAAGAGTTTGGGGTTCAAGAGTTTGGGATTGGGGAATTCAGACCCAGGAGTTTGGGATTCAGGAATTTGGGATCAGGGGATTCGGGATTGGGGAATTTGGGATCCCAAGAGTTTGGGATCTGGGAACTTAGGGTCCAGGAATTTTGGGTTTCAGGAGTTTGGGATCAAAGAGTTTGGGATCGGGGAATTTGGGATCCCAAGAGTTTTGGGGTCCAGGAATTTTGGGATTGGGGAGTTTGGGATTGGGGAGTTTGGGATTGGGGAGTTTGGGATTGGGGAGTTTGGATCGGGGATTTGGGATCAAAGAGTTTGGGATCAGGGAATTTGAGATCCCAAGAGTCTGGGATCTGGGAATTTGGAGTCTGGGAATTTGGGAGCCAGGGGTTTGGGATTGGGGAGTTTGGGATCCCAAGAGTTTGGGGTTCAAGAGTTTGGGATCTGGGAATTTAGGGTCCAGGAATTTTGGGTTTCAGGAGTTTGGGATCAAAGAATTTGGGATCAGGGAATTTGGGATCCCAAGAGTTTTAGGGTCCAGGAATTTTGGGATTGGGGAGTTTGGGATCAAAGAGTTTGGGATCGGGGAATTTGGACCCAGGAGTTTGGGATTGGGGAGTTTGGATCGGGGAATTTGGGATCAAAGAGTTTGGGATTGGGGAATTTGAGATCCCAAGAGTTTTGGGGTCCAGGAATTTTGGGATTGGGGAGTTTGGGATCCTAGGAGTTTGGGATCAAAGAGTTTGGGATCGGGGAATTTGGGATCCCAAGAGTTTGGGGTTCAAGAGTTTGGGATTGGGGAATTCGGACCCAGGAGTTTGAGATTCAGGAATTTGGGATCAGGGGATTCGGGATTGGGGAATTTGGGATCCAAGAGTTTGGGATCCGGGAATTTGAGATCCCAAGAGTTTGGGATCTGGGAATTTAAGGTCCAGGAATTTTGGGTTTCAGGAGTTTGGGATCAAAGAGTTTGGGATCGGGGAATTTGGAGTCTGGGAATTTGGGATCCGGGGGTTTGGGATCGGGGAATTTGGGATCCCAAGAGTTTGGGATCGAAGAGTTTGGGATCGGGGAATTTGGGATCCCAAGAGTTTTGGGGTCCAGGAATTTTGGGATTGGGGAGTTTGGGATTGGGGAGTTTGGGATTGGGGAGTTTGGATCGGGGAATTTGGGATCAAAGAGTTTGGGATCTGGGAATTTGAGATCCCAAGAGTCTGGGATCTGGGAATTTGGAGTCTGGGAATTTGGGAGCCAGGGGTTTGGGATTGGGGAGTTTGGGATCCCAAGAGTTTGGGGTTCAAGAGTTTGGGATCTGGGAATTTAGGGTCCAGGAATTTTGGGTTTCAGGAGTTTGGGATCAAAGAGTTTGGGATTGGGGAATTTGAGATCCCAAGAGTTTTGGGGTCCAGGAATTTTGGGATTGGGGAGTTTGGGATCAAAGAGTTTGGGATTGGGGAATTTGGACCCAGGAGTTTGGGATTCAGGAATTTGGGATCAGGGGATTCGGGATTGGGGAGTTTGGGATCCGGGAATTTGAGATCCCAAGAGTTTGGGATCTGGGAGCTTAGGGTCCAGGAATTTTGGGTTTCAGGAGTTTGGGATCCAAGAGTTTGGGATTGGGGAATTTGGGATCCAGGGGTTTCGGATGTGACAATTTGGGGTCCGGGCATTTGGGATCCAGGAGTTACTTTGGGATTTTGTGGCGGGATTTTTTTGTGGGGGGATTTTGGGGGAAGCTGGAATTCCCAGGATCAGAAATCCCATCCCCATTTTCCCTCTCCCCAAAATTCTCCAATATTCCGGAATTCTGAACCTTTATTGCACAACCGCAGCGAGGGGATCCCAAATTCCCCCCAGAAATCCCAAAATTCTGCCCAAAATTCCTCTGGGAATGGGATTTTTGGGATTGGGGTTTTTTGGGAACGGGGAATTTTTGGGAACGGGGAATCTGGGGATTTTTGGGAGTGGGAAATTGGGAATTTTGGGATTTTTTGGAATTTTGGGAATGGGAAATTGGGGGTTTTGGGAATTTTGGGAATTCTGCGAACGGCACATTGGGAATTTTGGGATTTTGGGAATGGGAAATTGGGGATTTTGGGAATTTTGGGATTTCCCTGAGTTGTTCCCAATCCCGGGGGAGCTCAGAGCGGGACCCCCCAAAAAAGCCTCGTACCGGGGGGGAGGGGACATTGGGGACAGCACTGGGGACATTGGGAGTGTCCCTGTCACAGGGGGGTGGCACTTAAAAAGTGTCCCTTGTCCCACAGAGGGGACATTGGGGACCGTCCCTTCACAGGGGTGGCACTTTGGGCTGTCCCTGTCACAGGGAGGGGACATTTGGAGTGTCCCTGGCACAGGGGGTGGCACTTAAAGTGTCCCAGGGAGGGGACATTGGGGACTGTCCCTTGTCCCTGGGGTGGCACCTGGGGTGGCACTTGGGAGTGTCCCTGTCACAGCACAGGAGTGGCACTTTGGGGACTGTCCCTGTCACAGGGGTGGCACTTGGGGGTGTCCCCTGTCCCAGGGGGTGGCACTTTGTGTCAGGGTCCCCATGGGGGTGTCACAGTTGGTCCCAGTGGCACTTGGGGACAGTGACATGGGTGGCCTTGTGCTCTGAGATGTGACAGTGACACTGGGGACAGTCACAGTGACACATGGGGACATTGGGGACAGTCCCAGTGACACTGGGGACACTCTCACAGTGTCACAGGCGGTCCCGGTGGCGCTTGGGGACAATGACGCGGGTGGCCCTGCGCTCCGAGATGTGGCGCCGCACGCGGCCCGGGGGTGGCTCTGTCACCAGCGAGGGGCTCGAGTGGCACTTGGTGAGCGGCGCGGGGAGAGGGGGACACTCGGGGCTGTCCCCGAGGTCCCCGCCGCTGTCCCCGAGGGCGGCGCTGTCCCCGCTGTCCCCGCGCAGCCACGCCCCCAGCGCCTGCACGTAGGTCAGGCAGCGCTGGCGCTGCGGGGACACGCGCGTCACCGACGGGGTGGCGCCGGGTCACCCCCCTTGTCACCCCCGTGTCATCCCCCGTGTCACCCCGGTGGCACCGGGTCACCCCCTCCCTCCTCCTGGTCACTGTGTCACTCCCTGGTGTCCCCACTGTTCCCACTGTCCTCGGTCCAGTGTCCCCAGTGTCCCTGTGCCACCCCAACGTCCCCGTGATGTCCCCAATCCCTCAATGTCCCCGTAATGTCCCCAATGTCCCCATTGCCCCCAGTGTTCCTGTGCCACCCCAATGTCCCCGTGATGTCCCCAATGTCCCCATTGCCCCCGGTGTTCCCATTGTCCCCAATCCCCAATGTCCCCATTGTCCTCATTGCCCCCTCAATGTCCCCAATGTCCCTGTGCCACCCCACTGTCCCCCCAATGTCCCCAATGTCCCCATTGTTCCCAATGTCCCCAGTCCCTCAATGTGTCCCCAGTGTCCCCATTCCCCCTGGTGTCCCCACTGTCCCCAATGTCCCTGTGCCAACCCAATGTCCCCAATCCCTCAATGTCCCCGTGATGTCCCCAATGTCCCCATTGCCCCCCGTGTTCCCATTGTCCCCAATCTCCGAATGTCCCCATTGTCCTCATTGCCCACTCAATGTCCCTGTGCCACCCCACTGTCCCCAAGGTCCTCACTGCCCCAGTGTCCCCAATGTCCCCATTGCCCCCAATGTCCCCGAGGTCC